ACTTGGGGAACCTGATGCGTTCTATGCTAGATTACAACCCGCATAAAAGGCCCAACGCCGCTCAAGTACTGCAGTTCTTCAACACCACGGGGCTAGGAAATCCAAGAAATTTTGTTTACCCACAGGGGGTGCCGCCGTATTTGTCAGCTAATTGCCGCATGAATCTGCTGCCAAGCTACTCACAGAGAGTGGGAACTCTGCTGCCACGATGGAACTAAAATAAACTAAAACTAGTCAACTTCAACTTGGACATCCATATATATATATGTATATATATATCCTGTTCAAAACAGATCAGTGCAAAAAGACTCTATCTATGCTGGTAAATATACACCTATAACACATCAATCTAATCTAATCTAATCTATGCGTTTACCACTCCTGGGTGGACGGCTTAATGCCTAACAGGCCTTGCGACCCAATTAGAATTTAGAATTTGATTTTTGTGTCAATATAAACGTCGTTATCGCCAAAGGCAATAGGCGAAAAGCGATAGGAGATAGGTCATTCCAAGATCCAAGAATAGCTGGAATGACTTGTGTTTCTGCTACTTATTCTCTCTATTATACCAGTTAGATTAATTATTAAATTTTAGTATAATTTTAGGCTTGAACATAGACTTCGCGCGGTGTATGTGATTGGTCGATCGACCAGTATAAATCTAATAATATATTCGGCCAGATTTTATTTGAATAAATTTATGTTTGAAAACGTTAAACGTTCTAACTTAACTTTAAAGATTGATGAACAATTCTGTATTAAATGTTTCTTTGTCCAGCACTAGACTTAAGCAAAAGGATATTCAGCGTTTGAGAATTTCTCAGGGTCTCACGCTTACCAGAACGCATAAGAGATTCGTACGACGTGTGAACAGCCATTGATGTTGGAAATAGATCTAATTTCCATAGGCAGGTCATTCCATAATTTAGGAGCCATATCAAAAGTATATCAGAAATTATGGGATATCATCGCCGATATTTTTTTCGGGTTGCCTATCACTAGGGCTTTCTTAAAAAATATCAGAGATGGTATCCCATAATTTCTAAGCTACTTTTGATATACTTTTGTGCATATACAAAGGATCAACATTTCTGCATATCGCTGTATACACACACACACACACACACACACACACACACACACACACACACACACACACACATATATATATATATATATATAAACTAAATCAAGACTTTTGGAATTGATTAATGCTCTTGTTTTACATTGCAAGCGTTGGTAAAGTTGTTGAATTCTTGTAATATTATTTGTTAGAAGATTAGGTTAAGGTCACGTGACGCGAATGGAAGAGACTGGAAAATTCTCTAGAGTGCTACAGCATCTATGCAGGTGGGCAGTCTGATTGGTTGCAAGGCTAACTATAATTAAAAGTCCTATTCCAAGAATTTTATTTTCGCTTTGAATCTTCTACATCACCACAAGCAAAGGCGAGAACTCTTCGATACATTGACCTACCAATTCAAGTTTAAAGTTCAATAATTTAAGGTTCTGAAAATGTTTTCAGTCAAAAGAAAATGCTACACCCAAGTAGCAGTGTTAGGAAGAGGCGCTTTTGGCATAGTGTACAAGGTGAGAGAGAATGGCAGATCAGGGAGTGTTTACGCGCTGAAAAAAATCGAAGTTGAAAATAATGAGGCAGTAAACAAGGCGAAAAAGGAGGTTGGTATATTGGACAAGTGCAGACACGATCATATTGTACGATTCTGTGGTCTCGATACAACTAAGATTTCCAGATCTACTTTTGTTCTGATTTTGATGGAGTACTGTGAAGGCGGAAATCTCAACAGTCGTCTAGCAAGAACAAGTGATAAAGAAACTAACCTACGATGGATGAAAGAGTTGGCCAGTGCTATGGATTATCTGCACTCCAAGAACATAGCTCATCGAGATCTGAAGCCAGAAAACGTATTACTGACGGCCCAAGATTCCATCAAGTTGGGGGACTTTGGTCTCGCCAGAGAGTTCGCAGCTGTCAAACAAGTTAATGCAACACGATCAATCAATCAAGTCCTTAAATCCCAAAGTACATATTACATGGAAACATTCGCAGGATCACCTTACTGGATGGCACCTGAAGTGTTTGATCACAAACACTATACAAAGAAAGCAGATATCTTTTCGCTCGGTACAATATTCTACTCCATTGTTAAGCGAAAATACCTAATCACCCGTTCTGGCATGAAATACTTTGGAGCATTTGTCAAGACTACCGGTGGTCAAGAGATTGGCCTTGGCATGGCGATGAGAAAAAATCGTTATAATATGGTGCCGCTGGATGGATTACCAGACTCTACGAGGGAGCTGCTTCGTACTATGCTGGCGTACGATCCCAAGAACAGACCCACCACAAAACAAGTACTTCAAAAGTTACAACCTTAGTAACATCAGGCTCACAGAAGAAGAAACCACTCACATACAAGCCCATCTGTTTGCTTTTATGAATTTTCCCTTTTAGCACCACTTATAAATAAACTAGAGTTTTCCGATTTACCGGTACAAACGCGGTTTTGGCACTCAATAGTACCAGACGATAATACCAACTTTAAATGTTCCAAATTATAGCACCTTAAATTCTCTGTTTGTTGTTCGTTTTTAAAAGAGAGATAAAAAGGGATAATCTAAAGGTCTGGGGAATAATATTTTGCTTTTTTGACTAACTATTTCGGGATGGATCTGGAGAAATTTGACATTTATTTTTCCTTTTAACAAGTATATTTTTTAGTCACAAGTATAAACATAACATATTTTATCAACACAAGCACATGTGTTATTAGCACCAGACACACCTACTGCGTAGCTAGATATATATTTATTTAATATAGCCGTTAGCATATGATATGATAACGATAGCGGCGTCAATTTTATTTACCGTCCAACTTCATTGAAGAGCATGTTCAGTAAAAAGTTATGACTTTCATATCATTTGAAGTGGAAGCATGGACATAAAAGCTAACAAGAAAGCTATACTGGCAATGAAGATTTATAATTAATAATAATAAACATTAACAATATCTATATTTAATCCGCATGTGCGGGTAAACTGGCCAAGCTACAATGAACAAAATAAACTAAAACCCAGGACCTCGGTTAACTTACTGGTAGTTAAATACCAGTAGTATGGGGTTGGTTGAACCAACGCAGCACCCTTCATCAAACATAGTCTCACGCTGTTCGACTATGTTTAATAAACGCCAACCAACCCCATGCTACACGTATGCTAACAGTTATGCTTGTTGGGTATTTGTGTATAAGATATCTGATAGTATATATGGAATCCCAAAGCAACTTTAGTACTGTTACCATACCTGGGAATGGTTCTATAGATGTTAACGCATTTTGGGATAGGTCGCTACGAAGGATAAGGAATACGTTGGAGGATAAGCTAGAAGAAATAGGAGCTATCAAGTCAAGCATTTGGATAGATATAAATCTAGAGAAAGATGGATTGTATAATTATGTTACTTTAAGGCCTCGGTCTTTGACCATAGTCAGCGACTAACGTTGATGAATTACTTGCTGAAGCTAATGAGGGCCTCTTAGAATCCTTAGCCAACTACCTTAGGGAAGGATCAGGATGGACATTAGAGGAAGTACTAGGGATAGMAATTAACACTGCTAGGTACATTTTGATGCAAGGTGCGAGCTATGTGCCACTACCTACGTGGATAGAAAGAAAGAAGGCAATCGTTAACGTGAAGAACAATGACAACAAATGCTCTATGTGGGCAATAAGGTCTGCGCTATATCCAGCAAAGGTAGATCCTAACAGGGTTAGCAAGTATCCAACAGACGATTTGAATTGGGATGGCATCGAATTCCCAGTGACTTTAGAACAAATCGACAAGTTCGAAGCTCAGAATGACCATAGGATAAACGTTTACACCTGCAGAGAAGGAGAAGTGATCGTTCCGATGAGATTTAGTAAGGACCCTACCATACATTTGTTTTACTACGGAGGACATTATTCCTGGGTCAAGCATTCTAGTCGCTTGTTCTATCGCTTGACGAAACACGGTGGTAAGAAGCACATATGCTTTAGTTGTCTATTACCATTTACGTGTGCGAAACTCTTGGAGGAACATTCTGAGATATGCCTTGGAGTTGCTGAAGTTGCCACGCGCATAGAAATGCCTGCTAAGAAGGAGTTCTTTTACCAAGATCAGATTAAGCAGCTTCCAGTACCCTATGTAATTTACGCTGACTTCGAATCTTTGATAGTTCCTAAGGCAGAAAAGAGAGGCAATACAGAGAGGACAGCATCCCATGAGCTATATGGATATGGGTACATTTTAGTACGCCAGGATGGTCACACAGGAGAACCGCAGATTTATAGAGGTCCTGATGTAGCTAGTAAGTTCTTAGTTGCCCTAAGGGAGGAGGAAACGAAGATAAGGGCTGAACTAAGGAAGAAAATTCATATGATATTTACCTCTAGGGCATGAGCAGGCATACAAGCTAGCTAAGACATGCCACATATGCGATACTAACCTACTAAGATATGGTAGGAAAGCATAGAAAGCCTGGAACAAAGAGGGTGTTTACCTCGGAGAAGCTCACTGGGGTTGTGGTAGATATGAGAAGAAAGGTCGCGTTCCCAAAGGCACCCAGCCTAATACTCACTGCATTTGCTGCCAAAAGCCCATAGTGGAAGAGTTTTACATGGACAAAGTTAGAGACCACTGCCATATTACTGGTAACTTTAGAGGAGCTGCACACTGGAGTTGCAATGCTAGCTTTCGCATAAACCCTGAGATGGAGATTYCAGTATTCTTTCACAACTTGCGCGGATATGATAGCCATTTTCTACTACAGGGAGTTGAGGAAGAACAGGTATCCTGCATACCAAACAACAAAGAGAAATACATATCAGTTACCACTGGTGGACTAAAGTTCCTAGATTCTCAACAGTTTATGAATTTTAGCCTCGCTAGTCTGGTGAAGAATGCTACAGAGCTGCCCATTTCAGACAAATATGGAGCAGAGCGCAAAGGAGCGCATACGAATGGATGGATTCTTGGGATAAGTACGAAGAGGAGCTTCCGCCTCAGGAATGCTTCTATTCCACCCTAGATCGAAGTGACATCTCTGATGAGGACTACGAACATGCTAAGGAAGTATGGACTAAGAGAGGGTGTAAAACTATGGGAGATTACCATGACATTTACCTTCTTTCAGACGTAGTACTCTTAGCAGATGTATTCCAAGGGTTTAGAAAGATGTGTATGTCCTACTATGGACTAGACCCTGCTAACTTTTACACTGCGCCTGGATTGTCTTGGTCTGCACTGCTGAAGATGACCAAGCCTCATTTAGATTTACTAACGGAGTATGACATGAATTTGTTCATAGAGCAAGGAATTCGCGGTGGAGTTTGTGGTCCTAGCAAGAGACACGCAAAGGCTAATAACCCTAAGGTTGAATACGATGCGAAAAAACCAACCACACACATTTACTATCTAGATGCAAATAACCTTTACGGATGGGCAATGTCGCAATACCTTTCAGTGCGAGACTTCAAATGGGTGGAAGGGAAGTGGAAGTGGGAGAACCGTAAGTGGGAAAAGTTTAAGTGGGAGAATTTTGACGTGCCTGAAGATAATTCCAAGGGTTACATCTTAAAAGTGGATTTAGATTACCCACCAGAGCTACATGACCTACATAATGACTTTCCATTAGCACCTAACAATGAGGAGATACCCTTCCAGATGCTAAGCCCCTACCAAAAGGAGCTATGTCCAAATTATAGATCCTACAGGAAGCTATTGATGAGCTTTCTTCCCAAGCGTAAATATGTAGTCCATTACAGAAACTTACAGTTCTATCTCAGACACCGTTTAGTACTAAAGAAAATACACTGGGTCTTGGAATTTACGCAGGAGCCCTGGATGAAATCCTACATAGATTTTACTACTAAGAAAAGAATGGAAGCAAAGAACGCCTTTGAGAAGGATCTCTTCAAACTAATGAATAACAGTGTCTTTGGAAAAACGATGGAGAATATCTGCAAACGCGTGAGCATAAAGATAGCTAACACAGAAGAGGAAGCCCAGTCCACGTGCCTAAGCCAGGATACGTGCGCTATGTGCAAATGCTAAACTTCTGGGTGATCCATATGAAGAAACCCAACCTATACTTCAACAAGCCAGTTTACACTGGATTCTCCGTCTTAAACCTATCTAAGCTACTAATGTATGGTTTCTACTACGATAACCTGAAAGCAAAGTATGCAGATAGGTGCAAGCTACTGTATACGGATACTGACTCTTTAATCATGGAGATACAAACAGAGGATATCTACAAAGATACCTTTGAAGACATTGACGAATATGACACCAGCGAATACCCCGAGGGCCTCTTCCTTCGTAGTTCTAAGAATAAGAAAGTCATAGGCAAAATGAAAGATGAAATGCATGGGCTTGCCATATTCGAATACGTAGGTCTGAGACCCAAGATGTACAGCGTTCACCATGAAGTCAATGACAAAGGTGAGGTAGAACAAAAGAAAGCTAAGGGAGTGAAAAATAATGTGGAGGGAATGCGGCATAAGATGAATAGCTTACGTAGCTATAGTCATCGCATACATAACATTGCACAGGATAAGGTATCTCTATCTCCATTTGACGGAAAGAGATACATATTAGAAGACGGCGTAAACACGTTAGCCTTTGGACATTATGAAACAATCAATAGTTCCTCCTTAACAAACCCGCGCTTTGGACCATCATGAAGATAATACAAGATGGGTTGACCCTTCTTAGCTACCACGCTTTGAATCTGATAAGTTTCTAAGGACCAATTAGGATCCGTGGCTCTCTTACTGCCGCCTTCCAATTCACCAGGCTGATAAAGATATCGAACCGTGACGTTGCCTAGTTTCTTTTCCTTGGGAAAGACAACTCTGCTGCTTCTAATGAACGATTCGTGCTTTACTTCTTTTTTCTTTATCGCGTCCTTTGGTTTCATTCCTGTTAATCTTGTTTCTTCGCCGTTCAGCGCGGCGATAACATCTGGTAATCTTTGCACCCATTCCCTGTTGCTTTTGCTAGGATCTGCCAATTCTTTCCAATACTGATACCCAAACAGGCGCTCGGCCAGGGTGCGATTGAATCTCTCGACTACGCTTTGGCCTCTGTGGTAATCTGCAGCCGCTCTCCTAATCTCAGTATCGTGGTCTTTCAAGGTTTTAGTGACTGCACCCATGAACTCTGTCCCTGCATCCACTTGCAGCAGCTTAGGCTACTTCAAAACACGCTTGTATATTTTGGTTAGGGCTTCCGCGACTTCTGTAGAATCCTTGCTGGTCAGCGGCTCAGCGTCCTTGTATCTGCTGGCGATATCCACAACGGTCAGCGCATATTTGTATGTTTTTCTCCTTTCTCGTGCGGCAAGAAGAGCAGGTCTGCCTGATGAACTTCGTTCGGCGTATCTACGGTAAAGCTGGGTCTAGGTATGTACTTCGGGGCTGTAAGATAAACCTGCCAGATGGTTTGTTCTTTCAACCAGTTCTTAGCCCTGTCTTCAGAAACCCTAGCTGCGGCGGCAAGTTTCTTAATAGCCGAGGCTCCCCTCCAATAGCCTTGAGGTCCATAAGAAATTCTCTTGAGTTTCTCCTCAGTTCGACCCATTATATTAATTCCAAGACGAGATTGATCTTGCGGCCATTGAAGTCCACGGGAGCTCCATCTACC